GATGTCTCCCGTCGCCGAAGAACAACTCAATATCCGCCAATACGCTTCCTAATACGCCGCGAAACAGTGACGAGGCTGCGATAACAAGCCCCCCAAGCCACCTACACCGTCACGAAACGATGACACCTAGTGTCCTCACACCTCCCAACAAAACGCGAGACAAGGACGACGGGACGACATGAACTAATTGTTGGACCCCTTCCCCTCCCCTCCTCCCCCCACACCTTCCCCTCTCTGGTCCCCAATTAAGACTGGAATCTGACCCCTTTGGTGTCTTTGGTCCCCTTTCTCCGTAATTATTACTGATTGGCTGCTTAAACTTTCGTTTATTCTACCCTCCTTTATCTTACTGTATTTGCATAATTATGAGTTAATCTAAAACGTTCGCCTAACTTGACTTCCTTATTTCTGTTACTCGCATACAGTTGGACGAAATGCGTCTTTTGATAGATATGCTGCTTTTTGTGTAGGAACAACTGACCAGTTTAATATGTTACTGAGTGAAGTAGCCTTTTTAGTGTTCCTTAGTGCCCTTTAACAAAACGAAGACTACGAAGATAGAAACCCGATCTAACTTTGCAAAATTGACAAACTGTTTTATTCTATGTAACGATGGCAACCTCGTAAAAGGGTTATCCTTTTCTACACATTTCATGAATAAATCTCTTTCAGCGTTATTAGGTGTAGACATTAAAAAGCAGCTGGACCCCGACATCTCAGATATTTATCTCATGATGGAGGTCTTGGAGAACAACCAGTTGAACTATTACTCTTTGTCATGAAGATCAGTCAGATGTAAAATAAATGTGAACTTGAAGGCTACTGGTTCCTTCCAAGTACTGAGTTTCAGTAGCAACAAGTCAACAGGACACAAACGTAGTAATGAGAAGAAGGGATATGCGACTAGATGGAAAATTAAACATGCTTTTCGAAGTAAAAAAGCTTCAGCGGCTGAGTAGATCACTAAAAGTAGGCGATCTCCAGATTCAATGAGTGTAGATTAAGTTACTGGAAAAGGAGAAAGCTAACAATATATGAGGAAAATTGTAAAGTCTATTAGCCACTCGTGCGCTGTATTTGAAACGGGATTGCAGACAGGCTATCGGAGAAAAATGATGTTTTAAGTCAATGCCCATAGGTTTGTTGGCACAAATTGATACGTCAGCTGTTGTTTACTGTCTTTGGTGCAATTGAGAACGTTTTGACTAAGCCAAAATAGTATGGGCCTGAGCAAGTCCAGCTGGGCACGATGGAGAGAACGAGATGTAGGTGTTCGCAAAGGTTGCCAACCGAGATATCATCGAAGTGGCCAAATCCCGCCTTCGGAGCTTTTTGTGGAAATCGCCTTCTCGGTTAATTAGCCTATTTGAGTATAGTCGGCCAATGGACTAGTCAGCTCTGTTAGTCGGTAATGACAGGAACGTTTTCAGATCGATGGCGCAAAGCCGGCATGCGGTGTGTTACAACTACACCTTACTTCATGCAGTTTGCCGCAAGTCAGGGAAATCTATCCTTCAGTAGTTCAAGCTTCTTTTTAGACTTAAATTAGGACTTGTGGCCTTGGTCTGACAAATAAATGTGGTTAAAGCTCCAACCCGAATATTACCGTGCCGACTCTCTACTGGATTCTTCTATAAGCCTTCCATGACTTATTCAGAAATGTGTTTTTATGTATGTACGTGGACGATGCAATACCTTTCCGCACCGAAGAAGCAGCTTTTTTATGGTTCGCTGGGATGACGTAATATTATCATCCGAATACCTACCCTCTGGTGCTAGGGCCTGAAAATAGCCGTACATCGCCTGCACATTGGTAACTCCGTAGTCAGTAATCTTCAGAACCCATCTTGCATCAATCAGACAGTTACTGGATTTGAGCCTTCCATGCACCTTGATTGCAGACTTGTGGAGGTAATTCATGCCCTGAAAACAGAAACAGATCTCGGTGGGTATATTTTTGCCGGCATGCGATAGTCTATGATCCAATAAAGGAGATTATCAAAAAACCGTCAAAAAAAATAAAAACTGCATTTTTCCTAAAAGGACAAAATCCGTACGTAGAAGAGGCACGTTTGAACAGGCGGGAAAAAAACTTACGCGGACTAAATCCTTAAGCAGAGAATTCTTGAATTCCCAGTCCAGGTGTCTCGTAGTGTGCGCTATTATGTCCTAAAGACAAAGCAACATTGTCATGCATTATATCCGGTCTTGTCAACTTTCCAGCGAAAGTTTAAAGTCCTGAAGTACCTCGTGTTACAAAAAGGTTATAATTGTGTTAAAGGATATCTGCTTGTCTCAGAATTAACCTCTCTGTGTGACGATTCAGTCAGTCTTCGTTTTATGTTAAAAATGTATAGATCGATTTCTTAGTAAATCATTTCGGTCAAGTGTGAATCATTCATGTTGAACTGCATGAGCTTATTTCTATTTAAAATACCGATGTGCTTTGCGCACGTTTCTTAAAACGCTCATAGTTAGTGTTTTAACAATTTCAATTGGGGCCTACCCTGATCCCCCAAATACCTAACTAAGCGGTAGTTACTAGGCGACTATCTTCTGCCGATGACTTGCAGCCTATCGATGCGGTCGAAAATAGGAGTTCCAGGAGGCGGATCAGATGAAAGTGACGCGATAGCCGGAACAGGAGTTTTATTCATCTAAATTTTCGGATTTCCATCAGTATCAGAGAGTGCAGCAGATAACAGTATTACCAGCAGAAGTATTGAAGTTTTTGTAGAATGCGGTTTTTAAGCCGCTGCGTACCAACTGCAATTAACTGGCCCATTGGGCGGCTGACTTCTGCAGTAGTTATCTTCATCTGATGCAGTTGCCCGATGATGGATTCCAGTGTGAATCCGCAATAGCCTATGAATGCAAGTCCTGTTCGAGCGATTATATTTCCTTCTTCCTGAGCCCCATACAGTCAGCTAAAGTAACTCCTGTATTTGTCCACACCCTTCCATTAAGTGATTTGTAATCTAACTTAACCACCCTAACCTCTTGTGTCACTAAAACGTTACATAAAAATACGAAATCGTAGCAGGCCGTATTGTCCCTATTATTATATTACACTAAGATTAAGGCCTCCAATGTGGTATGCGAACGGGTTAAATGGCCAACAGATTACAAGCCACAGACAAAAGGGCATTTAGACATACAAACACATGTGAAGTAGGGATGGAATAAAACTGTTCTAAACGACTCCGTCGTTTAATTGCGCTGTCGCGAAAGTGCCAAGATGCGCCATTCCGAATTTCATCTTAGGCAGTTAAGTGCTACTCACAGAATCTTTGTTACCAAGGCTTCCCTAGCCACAATAACATCAGCAATTGAAGTTTGGCAACTTAAAGCTGGCCTAATGAAATTAATCCTCCAGAATGCGTGTTTTTGTTAAATTGGTCCAGACTAGAGGTTTAGAAACATGCAAGCATTTACGGCACGCTCCGTGCTATGCCTCTGTGTCTTTAAAAGCTAGTTATCTAACTATTTTAAATAATTCAACGGATCTAGTAAAAATGCTTGCTAAAATTCCATTATAGTAGATATAAAAGGAAATCGGCATAGCCGAGAGGCAAAACGCATTAAGACACTTTTCTGTTTGAATCGGCATTACCCGTAAGCTCCCACGGCTACAATGTTCGTATGCCAGGTTAAAGGAGTTCGACTCGAGGTAGCAGCCAACGAATTGGTTGACATTGTTATTCCGTATACTTCGAAGAGTTCGCAGCAGCTCGATCAGGGCAGTTTTGAGGTTTGTCGTAGGCAGACCGACAGGTTTTATGTGGATCTCTGTTCCCTAAACAAAGGATGGATGAGGTGAAATAAACGAAGGTTCCAGACCGTTTAAGCAAATCACTTAACCTAATCGCGTAACCTTGAATATCTCTACTGTGACCCTGCATATAAAAATTGTGCACGATCGTTCATTTCCTTCTGGACTTTGAACTGTATTTGTGAGTGATGAAATTGATACAGTCCATTCGGCGCAGAAAGCCTCATTTATATATCGAGACCGAACTTTGGGCTTAAGACAGTGAGAAACTAATAAAACTAATGTTGTAAGACGTGTAGCTTTAGTCCAGAAATCAGTAAAACCAACGGTGTTCTTTTGTCTCGAAGACTGTAGCTGTCTTACAATCTCGCTTTTCAAAGGAAAATAGGGACAAATCCTGATGCAAGCGATGACTTTCAGCAGTAGTCATTGACCACGCCGAAAACGCCGTTGAGTAGTGGTGCCCCTATCGGCGTCAGTACTTGCATTACAGCGAAGAGAAAAACAAGTTTTTCGAATCATCATACGAAGAGTCAATGGTTCCCCGTGATACGGTCCTACGTTGACGAGGCGAGATGCCAAACCTCATTGGTCTGACAATTTGTCAGCGAAACCAAATCAGGCCGACTGTTTACGAACTAGATCGTGCTTAAAATTGATGACGTTTGTTCTTCTGTCATTGTCGTAATGTTTGGTCGTACTTCTCGAAAAGTTTGAGAAACGACATATACTTCCCTGCTTTAAGCAAAGCAAAGCGTTATGCGTATGATGAAAAAAGAGTTTTTCAGCATATTCTCTATTCAATGGCAATTATATAGTTGCGTGTAGAGTTTGCTGTGTAGGTTTGCCACCTTATTCTAGATGTTCAACGTACCACTGTATGCTTTTTGAATTTTCCGTAATTAATGTTGGCTTCCCACTCGTATCGATCGCAAGCCTCTGCCTCGTGTAATTTATCATAAATTAAGCAAAGCACCTGACTCGGCACGGTGGAATAAAGAACTTTCATTATTTCATCCTTCGCCTACTTAAAATATTTTTGTAAAGGAGTGTAAAATTCAATAATTAAAGATGAATCATGGAGTGTATAATTTCCAAAAGCAAAATACAGTTAATAAAATGCGTCACAAATCCAATTAGTAAATCATACACTGCTGACGAAACATTCGTCCAAAGGTTGAGCTGGTCGTCTCATCGGAGTCTTCTATGGCAAATAAGCTAACAATCTTTAACTCGCCATCGTTTGATAAAAAAAATGATAAATATATCTTGGGAAAAGGCAAAAACGAAGAAGCATGAAGAAAATGATATTTGAATTGAAAAATCGGCATCCCAAGAAGTGTAATTAGAAACTGGACACCAACTTGCATGGGACGAAACCCGAATTGTTGGCTCTTGTCCATACAAGAAAGGCCGCGAATTTCTCGAAGCTATGCACTCGGACGGACAATGCATAAACAGGCACACCGAGTTAGAATCGTCGTATCGAAGCCTCAAGCAGAAGTTGGCAAGACGCGAGCCAATCCAAAGGGAATGAAAAATACGGCAACAAGGTACTGGCGCAAGCGCCACGCCACGGCATTATCGATTTTCTCACGGACTTTCGATGTTAGCTGTTAGCCATTTTTGGCCCATTTACTTTTTTTCTACGTCTGACGACGAAGCGGGGCTCAAGCTTCGAAAATTCACCTAATAAACTATCATTTCCCAAAGTGATTTCTCTACATAAAATGATATTTGCTTTCTGAGTTCTGCTCCTTAAATCAGTGAAAGGCAAGTAAATTATATAGCGCTAGTGCTAACTTGCCAAGTTATTGTTTGCATTCATGCACTCCCTCCCCTAAAGTGATTGTTAATCCCCGATAAAACTTCTACTATCTCCTAAATTTTAGTTGATGGACATAAAACTGCTAACACAAGCAAACATGCGAATCCCAGAAAGTAATTGAAAAGACGAAGATGCGATCGCTGGGACAAGACTTGTATTCGTCTGACATTCCGAAGTCCGTCGCGGATTCTCCCTCAAAGACCTTAGCATAAACATTAGCAGAAACGGGTAGTTAGTGAACAGGTAGTTATAGTATTTATAGGATACAGTCACTATGATACTGCACACTTATGACAATTAACAACTCCTCTGTCGAGGATAAGTGGCCGCTTGTACTCTAATTGCTTAGTGACCGGCGTGCGGTCAGTGGCCTGCTGAAATTTCATCACACGCGGTAGAATTGGACATTTAACTACAATTCACTGTTCTAGTGGCCTCATGACTGACCATTTTTTATTCAACGATCACGAACGTGGAAAGAAACAATAACTATAGCACTCGAGCATTATGTATGGAGATTTTGCATTTCCGGAGTTTGGGATGTCAGCCATTTCTGGGCTCAGCAAGACATTCTAGAGTTAGATTGGAGTTTCGTTAAAAAGATCTTTTTTTATTTTTCAGGTCTGGGTTAAAATTTGGAAACAAATTAGAAAATTACTTAAAATCCAAATTCGTTTCATTGTTTGCAGTTTGTAGGACACCGAATTAGCTGACAGAAACCGCAAGAACATCAAGTGCATGCTAAATAAATATTATATTGTGGGTCAAGACAACCCATATAGATAGCCTAAGTCGATGCAACAAAACTGCACAGCAGTCTTTTTGTTTCATTGTTTTAGAAAACAGTGTCGAATATGGGAGTCCGGGGTGCAATCAACATGGAAATCTCCTAGGTTTTTCAAATGGACTTCTCGAGATTTGCATATTCAAGTTTTAAGAGATAGGCGTAGCTGATGTTTAGATCATTATTGTTTTGGGCCGACTCAGTGCCATTATCTACCAGTAATGCACAGGTTAAAGACTGTGATAGGATATCAGACCAGCATGATTAATGACACTAGGCATATAGCCGCCTAGAAGGGTTAAGCCAATGTGTTAGCTGCGAAATAAGATGCCATTCTCATAGTGTTTTTCCATCTTGTCGCCTTTGTAAGAGATAGAGGAACAATGCATAGACCACCAGCAAACATGCTTCGCAGAGAAAACTTACCCCATCCTCCGATGCTATATATTTAAAGACTTGTATTATGGCTTCCCATACTATTTTGGTTTTGGGAAAATGCTTCCACTAAACTCACCGTTTAAAATCCAGTCAACCTTTGAGGTGAATTCATTTTCTCAAACTTATTCTGGTTTAAACAGTAGCCTTTAAATTATGTTAATTACAGTTGTCTTTCCATTGACTTGCTTGGTAAGATCAGTCGCTCGCTGAAATAGCTGCTGTCATCACATCCCGGTATTTAAGGTGCATTTCGGGTAAAATCGAGCAGATGCAAAGGTCAAAACTTAAAATATCCGGACCTGGAAGCACACAAATTTTATTTCCTCTGTGTATTCATGTCTTCAAGGAGACTGTTGTAAACAACTTGGTCTCGAAAGCAGAGATATTTGTCAGCAAAGGAAAGGGAGCTGAATAAGTCCTTACAATATGACAAGTCTGTTGGCAGAAGTTATTACGGTCTTTTACAACGACGACTATCGATATTATCAACGCGATCGAAAAACAAAAATACCACTTTAAATAAAACAACAGTCAATTCATATTAACATCCTACCATATAGCTGGCCTTTCCGTAGCTTATTGTCTCCATAACAGACGATACATCATTCACCGATTCCTCCTTGTCGCTTCCTAGATCCACGTCACTGCTGAAGGTCACTTTTGAAGAAAAGAGCGGTTCTTTTGTCATCTAAAAAAGAGGGAGTGGATGCATAAAAAACGTCACATACACTACGCATATGTATATATTCACTCAGGAATATCCGAACACTGATACATTTGGCTTCCGAACTAAACGGAGTTCACGTGGTGTCTAGGGGTCCCGAAACGGGTGACCACCTGCCTGGCCGATGCCGGCCAAGCCATAATAGCAGAGAGGGGTGACAGCGTTTGGGGGTAACTTGATAGGGAACTGTTTCGGGTTTATTTGCCTTCATTAAGCTAAGCAAGCTGGAATTATTGATAGTCGTTAGAACTGGTTACAAACCGTGGAGTCGCAATAACTTTACGATGAAGCTACTGACCAATCACCTTGACATAGTCCGAAGTGCGGACAATTATTTTTCTATGAAAAGTTTTGACTATGAAGTTTATGCAACCAGAAAATGTACGCTCTAATAAACAAAAATGTTCGATTACATTAATTGCACTAGGTGTGATTTTCAGTTACCACCAGGCAAACAATAGCTATATGCATTTGTCTGCAGTTTTTTCACTACTAAATAAATCGGTACTGTATAATTATTTTGAAATGGACCGTAAACTGCCATTTATTTTTATGAATCTTTGGATACATTACTTAGAAACGCAGCAGCTATCATGATTCCGTCAAGGTGCTCGTCGTCGAAACCCCTGTATAATTTTTTAGCATCACCAGTTCCATATAGCTATAAGAAATGAAGGCAGTTTTGGGCTAGCGTCGGCACACTAAATACAGAAAGATTATTTTTCCTAAGTAGTTACTACTCGAATTTCGATTGGCGTGCTTTTGAAAACTTACCGAATGCTTCTTCTTCTGAATGGGTGTCGACTTGGCGAACTCGACGTCGTCGGGATATAGGACTAACTTGTTGATCCCTTTTCTAAGTTGCATTGATTGTTGATGACGTCTGAAAGAGGAGTCGCACGGTTGATAAGAACATGACAACAAAGAAACATCATTGGCCCTATAGCCCACCAAACGAATAAATTACTGTTATCACAGTACAGGCTACTGTTACTTCCTTATATTTTCTTTGAGCATTGCCCATAATGGCTGCATTGTTTTTATTTTGCTCTAAAGGAAATTCCGTAGTTGAAGTATGATTGTTTAGTTCGTTTTTCAGAAAATTTAATTTTGTTTGTAATATGAAAGTTTGCGCTCGACATACAATCAACGATAATTAACACTTGACAACGTGCATGCCGCCCTATCTGTCCGAAAGTTCTTCTTTGGCCTTTCCGTAAAATTTATCTGCACTATGTAATAAGAAAACTCCTGTTGCTAGACGAGGTTGTATTATTGTAGGCCTTAGCTGATAGAACCAAGCAGGCAGGTTCCTTGAATCAGTTCAGAAGTAGGCGATGCGATCACTAGAACATGAAGTTTAAGCCGCTCTAGTCATGGTTCTGAGGCTACCAGTCAATCAACAAGTGCAGCGACTTGCCGCTCCCATATTGCATACTGAGATTTCACCTGAGCACGGGAATTGGTCACGTGTGGGAGGCAGGGACCATTAACAGGTGCGATGACAACGAGCCTAATTGTCGCGTACTTATCACGCCAACATTCACTCAGGACCCCAAGCGATGATCGCGAGAGCTGCTAATTTTAGTGCGCATGGGGTCGCGTGGCCGTTACGGACTATAATTACTGCTCAACTTGTGCCTTTATCACCTTTTTCTGCGGTCATCTCTGATGATGGGCTCAAGCCAAAATTCGAAGCATCAGACCAGCAAACTTATTGTTCCCGCGATGACATCTTCCACTTCAATAGGTCTGAGGTTAGTTCTTGTTCGGTGAAGTCACCCTAGACGAGGGACTGGCGCACTTGAAAGCATGCGATTTCGAAAACCTCATTGAGTAGAACCGTAGTAAATGACTGCATTAAGAAGTACCCATCGCAAGCTGACCCTATCCTTACTGCAATAAAACAGAATGCTAGGATGGTACAAAACACAATGCCTTAAATGTAGCACCTATTTTATGCGTGGATTACTACCTCTGATGATGGGTGATGGATCTATTGCATGTTAATAAAAGATGACATGCTTTCATTAGAACTCTGCTAAGGTCACCCAGTCTTCCACCATTGGATCAAATGTTTTCGTTAGGACGAGCTTTTTGTAGATATTAAGCACAATGACATTACCTACGAATATTCACTTTCTATGAGTGATGCAAGTTCGTTGGGAATGCATGTCTATTCTGCAGATACAGAGGAGAATGCCTGTTCCAGGATGTCGAAGAAACCAACCAAGAATTCTGTTTGTTTGACCTGTCAGCTTTAATTTCATAAGCACACCTGTTAGGATATTAGCCGGACCAAATGCTGGCAACTTTTGGAGGCTTTCCTGAGTCGTCGAGCCTAGCCAAGTGTATTTGTTTGTTAGCTCTGACCGCATACAGGTAATGACTGTCCACGCGAGATGATCTTAACCTCTGGAGAGGAAACAGCTGCACACGCCTGCTCGCGCGCGCCACTGGTCGCAGTTGTCCAAATGCGCCAATCAGGCTACA